GTCTCTGTGTGTGTGTGTGTGTGTGTGTGTGTGTGTGTGTGAGAGCTGGCATACAGATGCCAGAGACAAAACGGGAAACACAGACACTTACATTACCTGGTAACGGAGAGGATATTTGGCTGTCATAGCAAACTTCTAGCCTCTAAATATTCTTTCTGCCTCTCACAAACACTCCAGCACAGATCAGGTTAAGCATTTACATTAAATTTACCTTCAACATCTATAGTTCATGTGTAAGTGAACACGGTGTTGACACTCTAGGGAACATTCTAGACCTGTTTTGTGCCTCTGACATATCCAGCATAGCAGATATAAGCGGAATACACATTGCGGTTGCACACAAAGCGCTTTTCACACAGTGTCAGCGACCTAAAGCTGTCGTAATAGACTTTCTTTGACTGCTGGGTCAGTGGATGCTAAAGCTATTTGGCTGAAGTTTACATAATAAAATACTCTTTATAAATCATCATCATGTCATAACACAAACATGATATAACATTAGTAAAAAGCTTTTAAATTTATGTAGAATGAGTGAATCAGAGCAGATGCTGCTAAGCTCCAAAAATGAAAAATCAATCTATCTATCTATCTATCTATCTATCTATCTATCTATCTATCTATCTATCTATCTATCTATCTAATGCATAAATATCATCAAATCATGTATTGCTTTTGTTGCTATTATTTTTTATTATTTTTATTTTATTGAAATATTGTATTATCTATTTATTTTTTATTTATGTAAGAATGTTAAATATTTGTTTATTTATTTCTTATTTTTGATTATATATTTATGAATATACAATTATATATAATATATAATTTTTAAATATTAATCAATGTATTTATTTATAAATACATGATACATATGTATTTATCTATTTATTAATAAATATATACATGATTGTATTATTCATTTATGAGTAAATGCATACATGGTAAATATTTATTTATTTACGCATACATTTATTTATTGTTATTAAATAAATAAATAATAAATAATTAAATGCATACATGGTAAATATTTGATCATTTATTTATAAATTACAAAAATGGCAAAATCATTCCTTTTAGGCAGATTAAAGTGAAGTTAATGGGTTGTAAAAGCTTTTTACAGATTACAAAGAGGAACAAAGTACAAGAGGAAAAGAGAACTAGAGGAATCAGTTTCCTCGCTGTAGAGACCGGTAGCAGCTCTGTCTGTATTTATAGAGCACGGTGAGGGGCCGAGCTGTTTGGCCGAGTGCCCGCTCTTCGATCGTCAAATTTACGGGCCAGGCCGGGACCCCCAAGAGCCTTAGCAGTCGTGATTTATGAGCCAAGCTCCCCTGCTCGCCTTCTGCTAGATCGTCACGGTGCATCATTGAACACTATCCATGCAAATAACACAGTTGCAATTTTCGATTTTATCAACGTGTTATTAAATATTGTAATTACCTAAGATTAATGAATATTCAGAAGATTTTTTCATTGGCCATTTATGTTAACTAATGAATTAACTAATGTTAACTAATGAAGCCCTAATGTAAAGTGTGACCGAACAATAAAGAATCAAAACACTTTCAAACAATATCTAGGGCATGTTGTAGTCCAGATTAAAATGTACAAAAAGTTAAATAGCCTATTAAGTCTAAATATTTAACTATTTGGCGCTGTGATGAACATCATAGCAAATACACAAATCTGAATGGCTGTTTAAATCATTTAAACATGATTCAGAAACAGAAAGTAGTGCAGCTGCTTTGTTTACAGTGTTTCCGGGGTAACGGCTGCATTTAAATTAATTATTATTATTATTATTATTTCTGCAGTTTAGCGCCATCTGCTGTCAGAGAGTGAAAGTGCGCTTTCATCCAGAGCGTCTCTCACATGTTCCGCCATGCGCTTCTCGTCCGCGCTTATTTACATCAGAGTGCGCACGCGTCTTTCATGCAGCATACAGCAGTGTTGTGCATTTTGACCAGTTGATGAGAAAAGTATTTTTAAAATGCATTCAAAATTCTGAATAATTTGTAATATATAATTATTCACGGTATTTAGAAGTGCCCACGATAACAATATCGTGCATATTAATTACCGTGATATATCACATTACCGAATACAGGCACAAGTCTAGCCAAGACACTGCGCTCGACACCGCGGGAACTGCCCCTTCTCTGCACACGCAGAGTACCTGTTGACCACTGATGCTTTGACTCCATAACTGAGATTGCAGCTCAGATCCATTCAGACGCAGTGAATATCATGCTGAAAGGAGATAAAAACAGGATGAGATAAGAGAGACCTTTAGAAATGCACAGATGAGAGGATCTTTGTGTTGTTGTTGATCACAAAAGCTGAATAGATAGAGCTCCCGTCCCGTAATGGACTTGAACTACAACCCAGGTTGGTGGCATAAAAACTGAGCCTGTTTGTCTGTAAGTGCAATGTGCAAGAGGCTTTTTATTGGACAAAATAAAAGGGGCGGAGAATAAAGCAGGTTATTTGCGATGCGATTGCTTTTGTGATTACTATTGCTATATTTACTATACCGTTTTAAAACCTTAGTTCACCCCTAAACAAAATTTTGTCATCATTTACTCACCCTCAAACTTGTATGAGTTTTTTTTTCTGTTAAACACAAAAGAAGATATTTTGAAGAATGTAGGTAACCAAGCAGTTTTCGGTAGCCATTGACTTCCATTGTATTTTTTTCCCTACTATGGAAGTCAGTGGCTACCGACAACTGTTTGGTTACCTACATTCTTCGAAATATCTTCTTTTGAACTCACACTTTTGAAACTCATAAAGTTTGAACGTGAGGAAATGATGACAGAAATATTATTTATTATTTATAATAAAACAAACAATTGCAGATTAAGAATTATTAACTAACTTGGGATTTGGAAGCGAAAACATTTAAATACCGGCAAGTGAAATCGCACATTGTCAAACAAAACACAGAGTCAATAAGAATTAGAATCAATTCAGAATCT